TATATATATATATATATATATATATATATATATATATATATACTAATATTAATTTATATTTTATAAATAAGCTAACAAAGTTTTGTTTATCTTTTTTTTATTTTCTTTTAAAAACAAACGAGAATATTAAGTATAAAAAAAATGGATATATATAATGAATATTTATAATTTCATTTGATTATCAAATATTATTAGAATTACATTCCAACATTTTTTTATAAAAAAAAAAACAAACAAATTCTAGTATGCAAATTACAAATTCTTATGAAAAATAAATACTTTAGAAACAAAAAAACAATGGAATATACTATTATATATATTATTGAACTATATAATTACATTACTGTAATTTTCGTTTCCTTCTCAAAGACATTAAGACGGTTGCTAACCGGTGGTAACATCCGCGAGGGAGGAGAATGATTGAACGAAACGGATGAGCGTTTAATTGTGAAGAGTATGTAGGAGGATGAATGAAAGCGAGCTAGGTGATGAGCTATGCCGTCATCGCCTGATTTCTTTGCGACAATGACGATGCCGTATAATGAAAAGACAAGTCTGATAATGTCAATTACATACTTGTATTTTTCTAACTTTATATACTATAACTTTCTTTAAAGGTAGAATTCTAATGGTTGTAATAATGATGAAAAAAAATGGATGAATTTTAAAAGCAAAAAATATTGAATTTTAGTAATATAAAATTCTACTACACAATAAGCAATTTTGAAACAGTATAAAATAAGTTGTTGAAAATAAAAAAGAATTATTAAGAATAATAATGCAATAATACTGCATACTAATTAAGTGATTCATTAATAATGTATTCATTAATGTAAAGATTAATTATTAAAAATGTATAGAGGATAAAAAAATCGCATGATTAAATTATAAAATCGATGCATTATGCGATCAATAATACATTTATTTTATCAATTCTTGCAAATTGATGTTTGCATGATTTGATTTCCATAATTATTTTACGTATTCTATTTAATATGTTCTGTTTTATAATTTCTCGAAATTTTATTTTGAAGATATAATTTTGAAGATTTCTTTATGTTGTAAATCTATTAGAATTTTCAAGTGCTCATTCTAGAAAATAAATCTAATATGGAATAAGATATGCAATACGAATGCAAATAAGAAAACAATGCAGATAAAAACGAAGAGTTTTTTGAGAAAATTATGTTTCTGTAACGCAACGAATAAATTGCAAATTGCAAATAAATTATAAAAAAAATAGTAGTAGGAATAAAAAATAGAGAAAGAATTTAAACGTTGAAATTAAATGTCAGTCTCAAGGAAAATAGCATATAAACTTTTTAATATCGATAATGAAAAAACTAAAATGATTATTTTAAATTACAATGTCTACTAATTTTTGAGACAAAGTAATATATTGTTAGAAAATTATAAAACAATTGGTATGATGGATATGTTTAATAATAATTATAATAAATATTATACTTTATTATATAATGAAATGAAAACATAATATATTTATATTTTCATTGTTCTTGTATAAAATAATAATTTACTAATAATTAATTATTTATTAAAGATTAAAATTCATAACATACATTAATTATAATATTCTTTTAAGATGCATTATGATGAATTTTTTTTAATATATAAGTAATAAAAAACATGTATATATATATAAGTATATATATTCTAGGATGTATAAATAGTACCTTCCTTTTTTTTATCAGTAAAAGAAACAATTCCTTAATGAAATCAAAAAAATAGATACTCGAACTACATCTTTTTTCATTAATTTCTTTATAATATATGAATGACGAGTTCTCATTTTTCCGGTATAGCGGTATTTTTGATCGTCTTCGTGCATCGTATAAATAAGAAGAAACTCCTATATAGTCATGTGATTAAATGATCAGTTATTTATATATATAACTTATATCGTGATCATATGACTCATGCCATATTTAAAATGAAAATATTATAATAATTTCTAAATTGTAAAATATATCCGGAAAAATATATCGATGAACGATATTATTAATTATTATAATTATTATTCTAATTGTTATAAAATTATATAAATTATAAAAAAAATATCCTTAAAATTCAAAAAATTTTTTATTTTTTTAGACAAAAAATGAATTCAAAAAAATGGAAACTAAAGGAGGATCATTAGCATAATAGACGATCAATGGTCGTCAATATCTTTGAAATTATTTGTACCTGTTTTTAAGAGAAACATTATAATTATATCCAAGATGTCAATCACGGCTTCTACGGAAAAAATGGAAACAACTAAGGATCTACCGAAAAAGAAATTTATTAACATTAATCTTCTTTCATTAAAACTTCTATTATTCCTCTTTTTTGGAGGTATATTTAAAACGAATAACGAATAAGTAATTAATAAATATGTATTACGAATATTGAATTTATCAAAAATATTTTGTTTTAAAAAATAAATAAATTATAAAATATGTCATTATCATAATTATTTTATCAGGAATGGGATGTCTCTTCCCTTTTCTTCCCTTACATATGACGGAAATGGGATTGAGTATCGACCAAATCCGTATGATCTCAATAATTTCGCCAGCAATCGCAATCATGGGACCTCTGATTGCCGCTCCTATTGCAGATAAATTAGCAGATCATCGGGGAAGAAATGATAAATCGACAGGTCGTTACCTAAGATTGATGATCGCTATTGCCTGCATTTTATCTGCCATTTTCTATGCTTTTCTCTTATTGATTCCAACGGTTAATCGCATTGAACCCCCAAGAGAAAGAAGACCAGGCCTAAAATTTAATTGTGATCAAACAGGGGCAGTGATATTGCAAGAAAAATGTAAAAATCGTATTTCTTGCCATAGATGGTCTGATGAAAGCAGAATTGGTTCATTACTTTTGGAAGGTTGCGATTATGCTTGTTACCCTACAGGATTAAAACGGTGGCATTCTGACAACAATGATGGATCTACTACTTTTGGAACAACCGATTCTGATATAATTATTCTAGATGGCAGTGGCGAAACGACAGTAATTCCTCTTGAAAGTGAAATATATTCTCAGGTAAATGTTTAGATAATAATTTAGATAATAATTGTCAATATATAACAAGAATAATTAAAATTCAAAAAATATATTATAGGAACAAGAAGAAACCAAAAAAATGCGAAGATTTGCCATGTCTCATAACGAACCACCTCATTTATGTTTTAAAGAAGGTGACAATATTGTTTGTCATGTTTATACTAAATATTCAGGCAATTTAGCCATAAATGCCACTTTAAGACAAGCCTTAAACAACAAAAGTGATCAAGATTGGTGTGTATATCCCTTAGCTGAATATTTTGCTTGTCGTATACCTCTAGAACTGGAAACCAGAATGGCAGAAATTTCTCAAAGTTGTACTATTGAATGTGATTTAGTTGATCCATATACTCTTCCAGGTAATATTATTTTTAATATGATATTAATATCAACATCATCGTAATATAACAATTTTTTAATACAACAATTTTAGATAGCATCCTCATAGAAAGCCAATGTCAAAAGACAGAAGATTGGTCTCATTTAGTTTTTTGGACATATTTAACCATTCGATCAGTCGCTGATATTTTCCCAACGACAGCTGTAGCTTTAATTGATGCAGCAATTGTTATAGTTACCAGAGAAACATCCTGTGGACGTGGAGATGTGGGACGTCAATTAGCTTTCGGTTCTCTTGGATTTGCCATCTTTGGTCCCTTAACTGGTTATTTATGCACACTTATGGAAAACTTGAATTCTTTCTACTATTTGCCGATTGGTATACATGCTATAATGATGCTTTTGGCAGCTCTTGTAGCTTTTTGTGCCAATGACATGCCACTTAGTCCACCGGAATGGTGGTGGCATACCAGAAGCGGCATGCTGGCACTTCCCATGAGCGCTATCAAAAGATATGGCAGTGAAACTGCCGCTCTTGTAATTGTACTCATCGTTATGGGAACTTTCTGGAGCGCTATGGATAGTTATTTACCTTTGTAAGATTTTTTATTAATTATTTTACACTATAATGAGAACAATAAAATTGATTTGAAATTATTGGATTAGTGATGAAATTAATTTTAAAATTAAATATTGTTATTTTAAGCTATAGTAAGAAAATATAATAAAAATTAGTTCATACTTTTATATTTAGACATTTACAGAAGTTGGGAGGTGATGAACTTCCTATTGGTGTAGCTATGACCATTGGAGCAATTCCAGCATTTTTATTCCTTTGGAAGTCTGAACATTTAGTTGATTACTGTGGTCACAGTAATCTTCTTATCACTGCCTTTACTGTGTATATTATTAGGTAGGTAAGTTTTTATATAATGTTATTAGTTTATATTATATTATAATATATTGAAATATTTTTTAATTTATATATTTTTCGAAAATTGAAATTTTTAGATTTACTGGTTTAAGCCTCATAGCAGAACCTTGGTGGTCTTTGATTTCGGAAGGCCTCGAAGTCTTTACGTTAGGAATTATGTGGATTACTGCCATTCTTTATCTGAGACATCTCGTACCACGTCATTTAACAGTAACTGCTCAAGCACTGCCTGTGATTGCACATTTCTGCATCGGCATGTATTCATGTTGAATATATATATTCGATAATTTTTGTAATACTACTTTTAATTCTTTTAATTTGATTCAGGTCGATGCATCGGAGCCGTAATTGGTGCTTATATCAATGTTAATAGTTCTGATATCATCGATTCATTGAGATTTCTTTATCGTTGCATGGCTGTTGCTGCCGCAGCCGTTGCTGGTTTATATTTTATTTTGTACCATGGTATATTGAAACCACGATGTCATGCACATATCATACAAGGACCACGACAACCTCCTACTGTTGTACAAGGTACGTACATTTGATGATTTGTATTTATAAACTATTTTAATTAATGTGTTTTATTATGCAAGCTGCTATTAAGGAATATGAATTAAGTGAGTGAATCTGTAATAATTTATTTATTTTATAGTATTGTTACATTATATATATACATTATACTTCGAATGTTTAATGATTTATTTTGTTATTTTGTAGATTTCAATATAAATTTTATTATACCTTTTTCTTCTCTGTTTTTTTTTTATATGTAGCAATGAACGGAAATGGAAATTATACACCGCTCAGAGTTTACCACAACGGTATGGGCAGAAAAGGTCAATTTCGCTATTGAAAAATTAAGGAAAGAAAAAAAGAAGAACACTTAACGACATTTTAAATATTACGGTGCTAGTAATTAGATTGTTGTAATTAAAACAAAAAATTGTCATTGTTATATAACATGCGTATAAAAAATGCGCTTTTCATCTTTAAATTCTTCAGACAAAATTGTAACTCTTTTATACAATTTTTGATTTCCTTTTATACAAGCAGTTTCTAAGAATTGATTTGCTCAAGTGTATTTCAAATTGAAATATTGAAACGAGGTGTTACTACATTACTACATCAGTATCGAAATGAGATTATAAAAGAAAGTAGAAATATTCAAATTTTAAAAGTATTTTTTTTTTTATTATCTCTCTTCAGTTTTATATATATATATAAACGAAAATAACTTTATATGTATATATAAACATAAATTTGATTTCTTTTAATAGGAAAAAATCAAATTATTTACTATTTAAAAATCACATTTTAATTTTATTTTTATTTTTAAAAATGTAATTAAAAAAATTACTTATTCAATAATTTTGATTTAAAGTATCAATGAATAATTACCAAATCATTATTATTTTAAATATAACATTTATAATACTTTCATCTTTTTAATCTTTGTATCTTTTATACACAGACGACATTTTAATATTGCGAAACGTTACAAAATTCATAACTTTGTTGCGTTTCCTTTATATATTTGACTGCGTATATAGATAAAATGTTTGCAAAGAAAAATTTTTACGGACTTGTTGTATGTATGTAGAGACAAATATTTATCTGTCTACATAAGATATAATACATAGAATATAGTTAATTTAAAGATAAAAAAGTAATATATTGATTTTCGGAATCGATATATGTATATATGAAAAAAATAAATAAAATTAAACAAAACTTGAAATTTAAAATTTAAAATATGATTAAAACTAATTAAAGAAAATAAAATTAGCACCTATTATTATTTCAGAAATTACTTCTATCTTTTGAATCTTTTCTTTTAAATGAAAAATAAATAAAATAGTGCTATAAAATCTATAAAAAAAAAGATAATCATTATTTTAAATATTTTGTAAAAAATGTATTTTTTAGATTTAGTTTTATTTAATAGTTAAATTTATTATTTATTATAGATTAAATGATCATTTTAATAACATCTCAGATCAAATATATTAAGACATAAAATACTATTAAAAATTTTATGGCCTTTTTTTTGCCATTTTTTTGCATGTTCGTTTACAATCACTGTACATTATTTAAATAAATATAGCTATTAAATATATTTTTATGAAATATATTTATATGGATAGAAATACTCATATAAATACAGTAAAAACTTGATCAAAAAATTTGAAAAATTTTTCAAATTTTATTGTTATTTGATAATTTTGAAAATAAATTTTAATTAAAAATTATAAAAATAACTAAAGAAATTTCTCAATTTATAGAGAAAAAAATTACCAATATATATAAAAACAATTTAAAAATTATTTAAAAGAAATTAAAATTTTTACATTATTCATTACATACTATCTGTACAAAACAAACTATGACAATTACTTATTTAAGCATTTTTATTAATATTTTTATTCTATTAATCAGTATTACTTATGCAACATACAATATTTTTTTTATATAAATTAACAAAAGTTCTTAAATTTTCATAGAAAATCTATATTTAAATATCTTAAATCTAAATATCTCAATTAGAAATTTTTTAATATGATCAAAATACGAAAATTGCTAATAAATTTCAGATATTTTAATCAATATTTTGAAGAAATAAAATAAATCTACAATAGTTAAGATTTATTCGAAAAGACTAAAAGATTAAAGAAAATTATATAATATAAAATAGAAGTAACAATGAACTGTTTTTTGTCATACTAAATTTAATTTATCACTGAATTTATTTATCATGTAATTTTTCATTTCAATATCATGCAATATTCGTACAACTGATTAATAAAAAATAATAAGTAGATAAATGATTAAAGTACTAATAAAACTCACGAAAGATATTGAATAACTATTATTTAATTAATCGTCAATAATAGTACAGTCATCTTCATTGCTGCTTTCAGATCCTATGGCAATAGATTTGTTGGAATTTTGTTCGTTATTATTTGACATATTTAATACACCAAGATTATCAGCAATAGAGAAATGTTTTTTTTGAGTTTCAGTTTGATTTTTTAAATCATCAATAAATTCATTCGCGGCAGTCTTTTTATCTAAATCATCGTTTATGTTACTAACCATTTTCACAAGATCATCAACAGCTTTGCAAGTAATTGAATTTCCCCGTCGCGACTCATAGGATTTTAGATCGCTTTCCTTCTTAACCGAAATATTTGAATTACTGTTGCTTGAAACATTCGATTTATCCATAGTTCCTAACATTTCAGAAATGAATGGCGAATTAGCTTCTATTAAATCCTTTAACGATGTTTCATTTGGATCAGGTAACTCTTTAAAATTTTCAGTTTGTATAATTCGAGATTTCATATTTTGCTTTTGTAAGAATTGAATAAAATGATCTTCATAATTTCCAAGTGACTTATTAATTTGTTTAACAGATGATATAGAAACATTTCTTTTCTCTGATTTTTGAGTCACTTTTTTCAATGCAGAATAGCTTATACATCGATCATAATCTTGTAATTCCATAGTATTTATTTGCACCGATTTATCTGCTAAGAGAGCAGAATGGTTCCCTATGGCTCGGTCTGTAGTGTTTCTCTTTTTGAAAAAATTTATTCCATCGACCACGTTTGTAGTGCCAATCAGATCAGATGGATTCATAATGCTATATTCTATTTCGTTATCAATATTAGTGTCCGAATCAGATTCATTTGTACAAATCATATCAAGAGGTATTTCTTCACAATTAATTTTCTTACGAGTATTATTTTCATCCGAACAATGAATAATTCCTACTTTTGTTTGGTATCTTTTCCATCTATTATATTCCCGTATTATTCTGTCATTAATATATGCTAATTGAGTTATAGTATCACGTATATCGCAATGAAATTGTTTAATTAAAAGACGAGCATCGTTTAATTCATACTTTTTAAATTCCTCTCGTTGAGATGTCTCAAATAAGCCTTGGAATTTCGTTTTCAGATTAACTAAAATATTATTGATCTCTTTACCATGAGGAAATAACCTTTGGTTTAACGTTTTTACGTTGCGCCGCTCTTGTACTTCTTGTCTCTTTACATTATTATAATTATTTTTTGAACTTACAAGAGCAACAGGTACTGCTTTATTATTAGTGGTAAAATTCTTAGAAGAACGTGGAACTTGTGATGTACCAACAACTGCTACATCTTCTGAATCACTTTCAATCTCTATAATATTTGAATTTGCAGCTATACATGATGTATGCGACTCAGGTAAAGAAAATCGTGATCGATTTAATATATTAATGTTCTGATTAGGTATGGTAACCATTGGAGTTGGCGCAGAATGTAATGTTTGATATAAATTCATTTGATTCATTTGATTTAGTGAATTAGAAGTATGACGAAGAGGTACAATAGGAGTTGCAAGTTGTACAAATTTTGGATTTGTAACGACGCTTACGACAGATGTGCTACACATTGTTGATTGCCGAGCAATTGTAGAATTTACTCGACCAGGATATACTCGAGGTTGCGCTATAACCATACCGTCTCCATTAACAGTCACATTTTCGCATTCAACCATTGTTTGTTCGCATGAAAGTAAAGATGGTAATATTTCATTATGATCCATAGTTGTATCATCTGATATTCCACTATGATAATTATTAGATAGAGACGTATTGTTTCCATCAGAAAATCTTACTTTTCGACCTCTTTTTTTACGTTTAGAAAGAACATTTGATACTATTTGCTTAGGTGTATACGTTTCATCATCTTCTTCTGAATTTGAACCATTTCGTCGACGCTTTCGTTTTCTTCTACGTGGACAGCATTTTGATTCATCAGTATTTATTTTTTCGTCTATTTCCTCTTGAGACATATTACAATTATTTTGAAATAATCTGAAAAAATTTAAATATATATGATATATATAAATTTAATTATATATATAATGTAATTATATTTAATCTTAAATATCTTTTTTATTTTAATTTTTGATCTTGTTTACCTATTCATTGTCTGAATATGTTGTAGCAAAGCCCAACAAGTTCCTCTTAAATTATATAAATCTCTGGGATCACAGACGAAGCATTTCCATTTTTCATCTGCTTCAATCTTTTTTCTCAATATAGGATCAAAATTTCTTTTAATACATTTGTAACAAAATGTATTACTACAAAAAGAGCAGCAATATAAATTGCCACCATTTGCACACCATCTACAAAACATATCTGTTGCATCATCACCTGTAAAATACGATTATAAAATATAAAATTTGAATTAATTTTTACAGATATTAATAATAATATGTACCTTGTTCAAAGGTGCCATCTCCATAGAAATCTCTGCATTTTGCACAGAGCAATGTATGTAGTATAGGATGTTCAAACATATTATGAGAATCTGCTGGTGCAGATCCAATATGTGCATCGCATGCTGTGCAATGTAATCTTTGAAACCGTACTGCTGAGATCTCTGAATTACATAAATTTAAAATCATATATTTTCACATTTTTTTTTAATTTTTTAAAAAATTTACTTTTTTAATTTAAAAATTTAATATTTATATTTTCTTAAAATTTAAATTTTAATCTATGATAAAATATTTTTATTGCATTAGAAACAATATAAAAAATAAACAAAAAATTATATGATCATTCATCAATATTGAAAATTTTATTAAAAATTTCGTAAAATAAAAAATTATTGTTAATATTTTAGAATATAACTTTTGCTGTTTTTTTTTTTATTACTTTAAAATTACAATGTTTTTATACAGTAAAAATATGACAAGTGCCATGCTGTGCCAAATGATATTATAGACAAATTTATTAAAATAGCAAATTAACAGATAATATAAATTGAGCATGTGTAAATTTTATGAACTTACCATTGCCAAACATAAGTTTATAATAGCTACACTCCTCTTGAGAAATAGATACTGGTACATTTGTCGTACTTGGAAGTAGTTCTCTGGGAGTTACTGCAATATGAAGTAGGTTAGACACATTATATTTCACGATATCTCGTACAAACTCGTCCTTTAAAACTCCACAATCTCACCATTTTCTTTACTGTCTACTTCCTTCACTTCATTCACTTGTACTTCAAGCATACTTGAAATATCCATTCTTGACGTGTTTCCGATCACGATCACGTCTAACGTTACGTTTCAAAACACAGGTTATCGCGCCGCCATTTTCCTGCAAGCGCACCGGCCTAAAATTTTGGCACGGGACGTTCGAACATTCAAAAAAATGTACGTATTTCAAAGATGATACCCTATTTGAGCGACTCCAAATCGTTGTAGAGATAAAGAAACTTATGTTACTTTTAATGATCATTTTTATTAAAAGATTTCAATAAATGTATCACTTTTAGAAATATTTCTTCCTATAATTTAAAAAAGAAGTTTTTATAATATACACAAAATATTGGAAATTTTATAACGTATAAATCAAGAATATAATAACAATTTTTAATTTTGAATATTCGATTGCGCAAATGTAAACGCAACTCACCCCTGTATTCATCACTGTGACTGCGGAAATGAATTTATTTACAAATGGCGACCTTTTGGATTTATTACAAAACAATTCGGATCAAATAGAAATTTTCGAAAAATATAAAGATGACTGACAATATAGAAGAATCCAAATATACTGAAGAATCCAAAAAAACATCATTAAAAAAATCTGCAGAAAAATTAACAGAAGAAATACAAAGTATGGCTAATTATAAAAGTCTTTATACTGAAATTCAGGTATGCACAAAGTATCCAATCATACAGAAATTTTTAAAAACAAAAAATTTCATATTCATTTACATTTTAGAAAAATATTTATTTATCATGTAAGAAAGAAATTCTAATTATACTTCGATTCCAAAAAGCAATTACAATTCGAATCCGCTTTTAATACGAAAACCGGAAATACAAAATATTCGAAAAATCAAAAACACAACTAATAATTATTACTTTTGTTTTTTAGAAACTCGTTGCTTCTACTGCAGTAAAAAGAGAAGATTTTAAAAATACGTTATTAGACGCATTAAAAAGTAATGGTTTAGAAACAGAAATTAGAAATACGGTATTTCATTGGGTCAGATCGCAAGTATATATCATTTTTATTAAAAATGTTTGTTTTAATAAGAATCTTTAATTAAATATTTTGTAAGGGTTCTTTATCTACTGCATCAGAATCAACCACAAACGAAGTGGATTTAACTTATTTAAAAAAAGCTCAAATTCAATGGGAGCGTAGAATACAAAAATCTTTAAATTCAACATGCAATGAATTAAATGTGCCATTGGCACGCATAAGACCAAATGCAGATCGCGAAGAACTTGCTGAAAAATGGAATGAATTAAGCACTTATGATATCGGTGATCTTAATATTGATTTATTGAATAAAAATTCTAATAAAAATATTAAAAAAGCAATTATAATAAATTTAAATTTTGTTCAATTTAATATTTAGATTTATCACAATATAGACCTCTTTACGCCCCAAAAGACTTCCTGGATGTGCTATTTTCTATTCGAAATCCTTTCTTTAAAAAACAGCCGTACATATTTATTATTTCTTAATAAATATTTCATAATTTTTTTCTATTTTAATAAAAATAATAATCTTTCAGAGATGAATTGAATTGGGAATTCAGCCACATAGAAATTCGCGTAAAAACACTCATGCAACTGGTATTTTTCCTTATTATACTTTTTTAAAAAAATAAATGTATTTAAACTAATGTATATAAATATTTAAACATATTATTATATAATAAATTATTATCATTATTATTTTTTGAATAGAGATGTTTGTATGTGGAATTGGCAAAAGGTATGCCATTATTAGGAGTGAATCCCGATATGCCAAGTTCAGAAAATTTTGCAAATCTAGAAGAAGAGAGAATTTATATCGGTGAAAAAATACTGAAATCGAATCATGCTCCAATTGCACAAGAATTTTTAAAGCGCGGAGCACCTCGAGCTCTTCGTGGTCGTCTGTGGTCTCTTGTATTGGGATCTGCAGTAAAACAGAATGTAAAAATTTCATTATTCTATTATACAAAAAAAATAATAAATAAATAAAAGAATTAAAATTTAAATATTTTTTTAGGACTCTGAATATTATGAAGAATTAAAAAATATGGTGTTACAATATGATATTGTTATAGATAAACTAATAATAAAGGTAATAAATCTCTTTTATCATTTTTAATTTCTTTTAAATAATTTTTATTTTTTTTTATTAAGAATATTTCTTAAATTTTTTTATTATTTTTATGATTTGTTTTTTACTTTTTTATTTCAGGATGTGCAACTGACAGCCAGAAATGATGATCAATATTTTGTATTTGAAGATGTTTTATATAAAACAATGTTATGTTTTTCTCGTGATTCGGAAGTATTAGCACCTGTTACAACTGATAGAAGTGCTGGAGGTCAAGTAATACATGCTGTTTTACAAGGAAAACCAGCCACTTTAGAAAATACTCTAGTTTTTCCACCAAGTGGTGTGATTCCATTTCATGGCTTTACGATGTATGGTACAAAAATTAATTTGAAATTAATATAAAAAAATTTGTGAAAATTTATAGATATTTAAAATTAATTTATTTATTATTAAAATATGTATCATTTACTAGCTACACCGTTTTGTTACTTATATGACGATCCATGTGCAATGTATTACACATTTCGAGCTTTTTATTTGCGGTATTGGTTTCGATTGCACACCGTTTCTAGTCACGAACAAGGTATTGTAGCATTGTGTTTGCTCTTTGAGAGATTACTACAGTGTCACGAACCTTTGCTTTGGATTCACTTTAGAAACATTCATATACAACCGTAAGTTTTTATATTCTATGTTTATATTATTATCAAAAATAATTAATGCTTCAAATAAAATATTTTATAGGATTAGAATTGTTTTTAAGTGGATCATGAGAGGTTTCAGTGGCCATTTGCCACCAGAACAATTGCTTTGTCTTTGGGATCTAATTTTAGGATACGATTCATTAGAAATTATCCCTTTACTTGCCGTCACTATATTAAGTTTTCGAAAGGAAAATTTGATGCAAGTCAATAATCAACAAAGTGTAGAGGTAAAATAATTATTTCATTAATTATTTATAAGAAACTCTGTTATTAATTTTTTATTTTCAGGCTGTTTTGGCAGATTTATCTTCTTTAAAGGTTGTTCCATTATTGCAATTGGCTTTATTAAGAGAATAATATAAAATAAAAAAAAATAAATGAAAATTTTATTTAAATATAAATTTAAAATTTAAATAAGAATAATCTTTTTTTTTATGTTTGTACAAACTGATATCTTTTTTTCATGATTTTTAAATAGCTAAATAGCTAAATAAAAAATTCAAACACAACATTAAATATAAAGTATAAGTATATGAAAAACTAAGTAATTTAAAGAATACATAATTGACATTATTGATTTCATCAGTATTAAAACTATTATCACTTTCTTCACATATTATTATCGCTGGAATAACGACCAATATTGGGCCTGTACTTGCAGCTGATTTCGGAACATAACTGCACATATACATGGTAGCTTATAAATACGAATGTATGTGTGTTCAATAAAAATATTCTATGAATGTGTATCTTATAAACAATTTAATAGAATATAAAATTGCAAAAAATTTTAATTTGATAAATGAATTTATTTA